ACCACTTAGCTTTAGGATTTAAGATGTTTAGCTTAGTTAAATCTGCTATTGAGTTTCTTTTTATCATGACTATTAGCTAAATTCGTTTAGTTTCTGTTTGGGAAGACTAATTTGCTCCTATGGTTATAAAATACTCTTTGATTAATTATGATTTGGTGATTTTATTAAATTAAGTTTGTTAAAGAACCTTATGCATTGATGACAACTATTTTCTGTTAATTGGAAGGTAATTAAGCTGCATGAACATCTCTTGATTATTAACCTCATATGTATTGTGAACACTTGATCATATGCTTAAGAGTAATGAATATGAAATTAAGATTAATAAGAAAATAGGTAAGTTAATGTGTGAGCTTGTTTGAGGAACCAACAAACAAGAGGTTAATTGAAATATCAACTTGATTAACCAATTAGAAATCTTATTTAATCCAAATAATTGAACTAGGGAATTAGTTAATTTAAACAATTGGCCACTGCTTGAATTAATTAATTGTCTAAGGGTTAGGAGTAATGAATATGAACCTAATCACTATAGTTGGTAACCAATAATAATTATTTTATCTTAAAAATAACCATAGGAGTGAATTAGTTGAACCTAAACAAAAACCCTTTAATAAATTTGGTGAATGTGTCATTTGTTTTAATCGTTAGTTAGTTAATTGTTTTATTTGCTTTGTTTAAGTTTCTAGTCTTGTAAAACTAGAGAAAAACCCTTTTACTTTTATTATTTGCTTAGTCAAAATTAGTTATTAGATCAATTTTCGTTCGCTGAGTTCGATACCCTACTTATCCAACTATACCACTAAAAGACAGGTTCACTGCCTTTGTGTGCTCAACTCATTAATAAAAAGTAGGATTAAAACTAGTTTGTTTTCCACACATCAGACACCATTCGAACCAGAGAGCATAGAGAAAGAGAGAGAAAGAGGGAGAGAGAGGGAGCTAATTTCTTCACCTTAGAGCATTCTTGCAAGGAAGAAGGAGGGGGTTCAAGCTAGGCTGATTGAGGAGCTCAGATCTTCTATCACTTCATCAAAGGTTGTTGTTTGAGGTATGAATCCATGCATATTTTTGTGTATAAAGTAGATCTCATGAATCTAGGGTTTCTTTGCCCCTTCTTTAGTTAGAATATGGAGCATGTAGAGTCCTATTGAGGAATACACATTAGATCTGGACCTTGGGAGGTCCAGAGAGTCCCAATCATCCAACTTTATGCAGTCCCATTAGGGTTTTGAGTCTAGGTTGTCATTTTAAGGGCTTTTTCTTCAAATAGAGCTTGATGTGTGGTGCATGGACGTAAAGATTGAACCTTTACGTGACTTTTGGGTGCTAGAAGGCCAGATAAGTGACTATGGACGTGTTCGGCAACACTAACTGGTAGCGTATAACTTGTAGCAAGTAGCGGGTAGCTTGTAGCGTTTTGTTAAACGTTACATAAAGTAACATTTGAATTTGGAGCGTTTTAATTAAACTAAACGCTAGAATCTTGTAGTGTTAAACTAGACTTTCTGTTTTAAACGGAGCATTTTGACAAACATCTCTCAAACGCTTCAAAACACTCTGTGCCGAACATGCCCTATATATGTTGGGGTTTCTCTTATTTCTTAAAAGACTTTTTTGGAGAGACAATCATGAGCTCCATATATACATATTTTATTTCTTTCTATTTTATGTATTAAACAGGGGCGGTTTTAGGGGGGTTCCGGGGTGGCACCGGCAACCCCTAAATTTTCTGGCCGCAGTAGAAAAATTTTCGAAATTTTTTTAAAATTTTTATTTTTTTCTACTATCGTGCAACCCCTCTAATCTTCCCGTGCAACCCCTACTATAAAATCATGCGTCCGCCCCTGATATTAAATTATTTGATCCTTAATTACAATATTTATGTATAATTTTGTAACCAATTTTTTTTGGTTTTTATCAATTACACATGATAATGATAATTCGTACTATTTAAAAACAAATAGCAACTTAGAGATCAATTAGATACCACTTGTTGATTTAATTAAAAGTTATTGGTCCATTATCCAATCCACTCGATGGATGCATCCGTTTTGATTTGCAGCTTTGTATTTCTGTTATAAAATCGTTTATTATTGCATACTATAATTTTTCGGTGGCCATATATATTATGGCCATTTAGAATTTAGAAACCGAAGTATTTCCTAAAAGGAAAAGAAAAATCATATGTACTTGTAGTTATTGGATTCAAAAATATGTAATCTATCTTTCATCCACCAAATACCAATCACTCTTGATGTTCTTCAATCTCCTCCACCGAGCAACGTCTTGAAAATCGCCATGAATTGTCGAAATCCCCTTCAATTTCCCCAACAACAATCTCTGCCACCACAACGGAATCCATGGAAATTGACCTTCTTGCCGTCATTACAGACTCATACTCTGTTTTTGAATCTTCAATATCATCACAAACTTCGCTCTCCGAGACATGATTCCCATCCAAATCACCATGGTTCTCTAAATTCTCGATCTGGGTATTTCGATTTGATCCAGTCCCATGGGAAAAACTCCGATCATTCGGACTCAAACCCACACTCAAAGTGTTGGACAAAACGCCAGCACGACAAAGTGGGCAATTTGTATGCGATCTTAACCAGGTATCAATACAAGGGATATGAAACGCATGGTTACATTTCGGCAATAATCGTAAAATCTCATCATCTTCAAACTCACTCAAACAAACCGAACAATCAGTGCCATCAATCATGTTATCGCCTCTATTAAACTTTATTACAGTAATCGAATTGATCACAGATGGTTGAAGGCCGACGGTGGTGATGTACCAGATGGGATGATCAACTTGAAACCCTACATGATCTTCATCGGAAAAATCTTCTGCTTCACTGTAGACTTGTGTGGTGGGGAACTGCCGGAAACGTGTGCAGCATCTTACCATGATAAGGTAGTAGCTGATAAAGAGAAAAGCGCTGCCAAGCAGGGCTACTATGATGATAACGTAAGGTGATATGTGGGTGGTTGTGGTGGTGGTGTGTGGAGGTAATGGTGGTGGTTGTGGTGGCCAAAAGATTTCTGGATAGCTGCATTTGTAAGGGCATGTTGGACCACAATCAGAACAGGTTGACGTTTGGTTGGAATCTTGTTCGGATAGCAGTTTCCGGTGGTCAATTGCCATTAAGAGGAGAAGGTGATGGCGGTGGTGGTGGTGGTGGTGGGTGAAAGTGGAGGGGGGAGGGGAGGATAAAATTGGAAGAATTTTAGGTGGGTAAATTGGTGAGGAGGATTAATCATATAATTATAGTTTGTGTTATTGTAGGTGGTGTGTGTTGTTGCAGGTGGTGTGTTATTATCATAACTTCATTGCATGTGTAAAAAGTCTAATTTTGAGATTTAAATCATGGTATGAAAGTTATTATTATGAGAAATTCTTCCCAATTCGCCATAAAAAAATTATTTCCATACGTAATAGTATTCATCATACGATAGTGTGTGTTTTTCTTTTTTCTAAAATAATCATCAAGTGAGCCAACTCTTAAAACGAAATTAATAGACACAAGAAAAGAACGAAAAATTAGACTGGTCTAAATAACAAAATATATTGTTTTGATCATCAATATTTATTGTACTAAATTTTTTATGATCATCAATATGTATTTTGTATTTTGTATCCTTCTACACAAATAGCTACCCCTCGAAAGTTATTGGTGGAAGGGCAATAAGTGTTTCAATGTGACACTCCGTATTGAATGGTGGAGGGCTAAAAACGGAATAATAGGTTAATCGGGAGTATATTATAATGGTAAAGTATATTAGTATAATCTCAAAGAATTACAATATTCATATCAAGTTGTTATTAGAATCTTAAAGAGCGTAGTGTATTTTGTATGTTAATTAGGAAGTAAAGTGCCAACTTGTGAGATAGGTGTGTTCAAGGTTTGGTTTGTAAATAATCGAAGGTTAAAGGGCTCAACTTAAAGCCATATAAGAGAAATGAAACTATAGAAAAATCAGATTATTATTCCCTTTTCAATATACTTTTTTCTCCTTGTTGAGTATTATGTGTGCAAGAGTGGAAGGAAGTGAGGAGGATGCCTAAGTTTGGAGAATTTTATTAAAACCTCTTGAAATCAAGAAAGTATAGCAGCCACCAAACATATTTTATTTAGTCCCTCCACCACCTCAACACTATATTCATACCACATGATTAATTGGTGGTGTTGTCATCAAGATAATTGTTTATAGTTACCTGGTTAAAATCTCTTTTCGGAAAATATAATGATAACTAAAATAATTGTTTATAGGTTCATTGAGTACAATTAAAAAATAACTGTCCACAAAACAAATTGGGTATTATTAATTGTACTATATACTAACTCTTTATATTATCAAGTTTTATGACTCACAGTCACAAAGAATAACTAACTGAAACAAAATTAGTTTATCCAAGCATTTAAAACTAGTTTTTTTTCAACTTGAAGGCACAACAAGCAATAATGAAATTCAAAAACCATACGCAGAAACCCTAAACATCAAATAGTTGTTTTCAAATCGTTTTTTAATTATTACTTTCACAAACACACACTAAATCACCCCGGAAGCGTAGGGTTTGATAGAAATTTCACCATTTGAGACATAATTAACTAAATATTTCTTTTAAAAACAATAGTTATAAGTCAGGAAATTATCAAGAAATTAAATAATTAATAGTAGTAAATAAAACAATAAAATCTGAGTTAACATGGGAAGCAAGGCACATAATCATCTTAACAAAACACTATGTGAAGGTTTGACTTGGACCTTACGACAAATAAAAAGTCTCTCCTCCATCAAAGTCAAACTCTTCATTTGCATACTTAATATACACATCTACGTAACCACCAATTCTAACCACTCCATTATCAATCTTCCATTCTTTAATCTTCAAACAAACATACAAATAAACACACACACACACACAAATATATATATATATATATATATATATATATATATATATATATATATATATATATATATATACACACACACACACACACTCATCCATTGTTTTAATTTTCAAGAAAAAAAAACGCCAAGAAATGTCTTCGACTATCTCAAGATTCAGTGGGGCAATTCCTACGTCTTCTTCCAAACCCATCGACCAATCTGTTTTCTTAAATCCGATTACAAAAACATATTTCCTGAAGAACAAGAAATCTGCATGGAGTTTGCATGGCAGAAGTTGCAGAAGCTTGCAGTACTTGAGCATGTCTATAAATCTGCAAACGGCGACGTTTGTAAGACAAAGCAACGTTAATCCGCCACCAGAACCTCCTCTTCCTTCTGGATCCCCTTCTGGTTCTTTGTACGATTTTTATAATCCTTTTTCTAACAAAAAAAAAGTTCAAAACTTTTTTTTGTGATGTATTATATTTCATTTCTTTCTATTTCTTCGACCAATAGGGTTACTAGAGAAATCTTTTTTGTCCTTGACACTTTATTAATTTATTTTTCAGGAGAAACTGGGTTGTGGGATTGGTGTTGACATTCATCTTACCTTTTTTCACCCATAAATGGGGTTCCTGGCTTCTATATAAAAGTAAGAAATTAACAAAATGATATATAAATATTTTGAATTTAACACACAATTATGGATTACTAAAAGCCATGCATACGCAGATCAAGTTGATCAGAAGCTAGAAAGAACAGAACATGTTGTAAAAACTGTAGAAAGTGTTGCTGTAAAACTCGATAAATTCATTGATGGCATCACCGATAATCTTCCAGAAGGTAACAAACTCAGAAAAGCTTTGGAATTTGCAGACGAGATAGCTGAAGGAGTCGCCAAGACTGCTCATGTAGCAGATGATATTATCAATAAGGTTAATTTATCCCCTTTCCATCGTTAATTTTCTATTAATAATTTATTTCTTATTTTCCGATGATAACTAATTCCTCCAATATTTTTCTTCCCAACATATAATTAATTTAATTCTTTTTTAATTACGACTTTAATTCCCTATCTTATAGTCTTCGTCGTCGGGAGAATTTTTGCACGATTCTGTTTAAGGTGGTTAATAACGTGTGGAACTTCTACATTTTTCCGACAAATAAACAAGTTTAAATATTTAATGAATAATTAATTTTGCATATTTGAAGGACATGTGCTAATTTTGCGTTGGCATCTTTGATTGTAATTTTATAACACAAAATTTCAAAAATAATAACCTTGGTTTACAAAAAAGAAATTAAATAACCTTCTACATTTTCTTTTTATATTTATATATTCTTATCCACATAAAATGATGATAAATGTTATGTTTTAATAAAATTAATTTTATTTTAAGATGTTTGTCATTATTTAAAATGGATAGAAATATATTTAGGAAAAAAAGTAAAAAGAGATTTAATTTCTCTTGAAAAAATATATTTATATAGTTTTTATGAGAAATTTGTTGCATAAATGATTTTTAAATATGAAATTATGATTAACACACTGTTAAAAATAATATGTTAGTTTTTTTTTATAAAATTATAAAATTATCCTTTAAATAATTTTTATAGGAGGATGATATATTTATGATTCAACAATTTTCAAATTAAAAGCCATTCCTACAACAAATTCCTCCACTATATGCAGATTTTTTTTAAACCAAAATGATCACTTTTGAAATTTTGGATGTGTTCAACAAAATTCATTGGTAGCTAAAGCTGTAGATTTTATTGTAAATGAATAACAAAAATAATTGAAAACTTTTAAAACATATAAAAGACTTGATTTGTTAAATGCTAATTGAAATAGATTTTTAATTTACAGTTTTTTGTTTAATTTAAAAGCTAGAAGCTTATATTTTTAACAAAGTTTTTTTTTTCGAGCTTTTTTTTACAAGTTACAAGCTAGAATGTCCCAAAAACTGCGTGTCGAACAATTCTTCATCTTTTGAAAAATTTTCATTTTAAATATGAAATAAGATCACTTGTTTTTACCTTTATCTATTTAATTTTGAAATTTAAAAATGGAAATGGAGCAGGTGGAAGAAGCTGAAGATAAATTGGAATCGTTGATTCACCAGGAAAATTCAAAGGAGGAGAAGATTCCACAAGACAAAGAGGACCATGAAATCACGTCCCAAGAAGAAAATGATAACAAGTAAAATAAAATACAATGTTTGGTACGGCTGAATAGAACATGAAATGAACATATATATATTTCACATCATAAGAGCATTTACGTTGTTTAGATTGTTTAAAAACCATTCTTACATATATCTTACGAAATAATAGAACAATTCATTTTGTTTCAAACAAAACTTCTCACATGAGAACCGAAGGAAAAGCTATAAGTCCATTTTCACACTCATTTACTTGTAATTTTTGTATAACCGTATGGAGATAATCGATCTTTTTTATGTCTTGGTCTTTTTGTTCTTTAATTTCGCTTTATTGACGAAATTTTGACCCTAAGTTTCGCAAAGGATCTTTTAAAGCAACAATTTCGGATTTTTAAACATTTATATACCAAAGGACTTCTAGCCCAGTGGTATCTGGTGTTGTCCTCTCTCATTGAGGTTTGGAGTTCAAATCTCATCACATATATAAATGGATTTAAGGTCTAATTTATAAGTAGGTTAGCTTTATCATTCAAAAAAAAAATGTATATGACAGATTAGCAACGGATAATAGCCGGTGGATATTCTGTCACAAAATTTGACAATATCAGTGACGAAAATTAAATATCATATAAAATTAGTTGCTAATAACTATTTTATTTAATTAAAAAGGTATGTGGCTAAATATTAGCAGAGTCCCATTAATGCTTTACTAAAACTTTTATAACGCAACAAAATTTAGTTTTGAAGCTTGTGAATTGTTGTACAAACTGTTATTTGGATTTGGATTTGCTATGTTGCTTAATTTCTCTCACGTGTGAATTGTTGTCCAAAATTTGAACTTTTTGTTATGTAATTTTGGATGTATGGTTAATCCCTTTATGATAAAACGGATTGGAATGTGGTAGCTTAAAAGTCAATTCATTAAAGAATGTAGGCGAAAGGCTAAAAAGAGAACATGATCTTATATAGCGGATCTAAGGCAAATGAAAATCAGCTAAGACTATCTTAAAACGAAGTTTGTAGCTTGGATGAATTTAACGAACAAACGGGATAGTAAGGAACAAAACCTACACAAAATAGAATGTGGTTTGAAGGCAATGAATATAACTAATTAGTGTGATCAAATTGCTATCCAATTTTTTTCAAATGCCTCAAATTAAAAATTATATGCATAGTATTATGTTTAATTTGGATTTTAGTTGTTTTTATATATTTTTAAGTAATATTTTTAATTTGATAATTCATATGATGTCTTATAATCTTTATTTACTCAACAAGTTATTCATATGTTTTATCAAACTTGTTAAAATGATAAGTTTTATCATTGAACAACCTTATCAAAAATCATGTTTTTATTCAAACCCAATCCATACATTGCCTCTACTAAATCATTCAACAATAAAATCAATTAGTTTTTACCGAACAAACCTAAGTGGGTGGAGTGACATTTAAAAAAAAAAATCTCATCTTCAATGTTAAAAGTACTATTTAAAGACTTTTTCAAATAGTAAATTTTTTTTTTTTTTTTTTTTTTGTAAAACAACTATCGATTGGAAACGCTATAAACAACTTGCATACTCACATTTTTTATTTATTGAATATTGTCTTTCATGAATCTTCTTTGCTACTTCCTTTAAAATTTTTAATTGGAAATTATATTCAAGATAATAGAAAAATGCTGTGTATAGGAACTTCTTAGCAACTTCCTATCCTTCACAAAGAAATAGAAAAGGTTTATCTAGTAAATCAAATTGAAATCGTTGCTTATTGGAATATTAATTAGTATAAAAAGGTTGTTTCTTTTATCAAAATATGACAAAATTAGAAAGCTTGAGATTTGAGATTTATTAAAAAACTGATTGAGAAAATCATACACAAACGACTATAATTATGTGGTTGAAACGAAAAGATTTGGAACTTTCAGTTATGCACACAACCTAGTGGATGTGATGAATAGGTTGTTTGGCACAATTCACAAACTATGTATATCCATCCATAATTGTAAATGCATAAAAGTGTAGAGTTAAAGGATTAAGAAAACATGCACCACGATATTTATTGTTTTAGACCTCTTGTCCATTCGGCTATGGACTTGTTATTTCCGATAGAACAACAATCGACAAACAAACTTTATTTGATTTCAACTAAAAATTTTAAAACACACACTTTAATGTATAGATTGATTATTAAGACTTTCGGAAAAAAACTTGACTATTTGACTTCCATCAAAATGACAAATATAGACTTTAATGCATGGAATAAATTTATTTATATATTAAAAAAAAAAAAAAAGAACTTTGGAGACTCAAAATAATTTGAACACTCAACCTTTTCGTGACTTAGAAAAACACATAGAAAGAAAAACAAAAAAGTCTTCGCCAGCACTTTAGGAATTCAATAAAAAAGATGATTAAAATTTGATAAGCTAAAGACTTTTCCTTGATAACTTGTAATTAGCGTGTATGTCCCAAATACTTACACAAACACAACTACATACAATTGTTACCATTAATAGGGATTATCTTGTCGATCTTTAAGACGTTGAGTTATAATAAGAGTAAATTTTGTTAACCATGTGGATACTATTTTGATTTCGTTAAGTAATTGCATTGATAGCATATGGATTTCTTAAGTAATTAATATCATGATTGTGTTCCATAAATTAGTTGAAAATTGAGCTTTTAGCTAAGAAAATCTATCTCTTAGCTGGAAATTTTTTGAGTATACAGGTAAGGTTGGTCAAGTCTGGTAGTACAAACTCCTTTGGTTGTATTTAGGAAACAGACTCGTAGAAACGAATTTGTTTTAAGTCGTGTCAAACACGTGGCTCAATTATCTTTGGTTTATACATTATCGTTTCTACCCTTTTCTTTGTAAATATCATTTGCTATTTATTATTGCAATTTCGTTATACTTTGGAAAAAGTGTATTCACTTATATATATTGAACAAGTTTCACACATTAATAACTACCGATTATAAAATTATATATGAGGACAAAGACCTTACATGTTGGGGACACCTAAGAATATGATACTTTAATTAAGATAAAACAAACTTAGATAAACATGTGGGTTAACCCATTAGAATAAGAAACCTTCAACATTTGACCATAGAAAAAATAACATATCTGCCAAACTTCAAACGTTGTGATCTACAAAAGAAACCTTACCATCAAACACACAATCTCTGTACCTTCAAAATAAACCTTACTTTCAGAGTTAATTGTAATGGCGAGATCAAAGTGTATTTCGTATGGTGGTTTAATAGTTAAAAACCTTTACACTACGCAAATATCAAGGTTTTCTCAAAACACACAAATCCTCAAAGACATGGCTTGTTTTCGTATGGATGGATCCCAATCACGAAGAGCATTTTGCAATATCAGTGGCAATCAAGAACTTCCTCCTCCACCATCTCCACCTCCAAGTTCTAATTGGTACGACATGTGTTTGATAACTATCAAGATTCAAAAAACAACACAAAAAAGATGAATTTGTTGATCAATTCTTCGTAGTAGTTTTGACCATTTAACATTTTTCTGTTTTGGATGTTCTTCGTTTCTTTAGGGGAAAATGGACTGCTGGAATAATGGTGGCAGTAGTCATACCCTTGCTACAATTTAAAGGTATACATACATATCATGATATTATGATTTATGATCCCTTTCTTATGATCTATTTGAAAAATGTGGCCTGGATAATACCAAGATGCATCCATTGTACACATCTTATTACACATATGCAGTATTGGCGTCAGAAAATCTTCATAACCGAAGCAAAATCTACAAATCGCAAATTTATGTTATTTAACATTTTGTACTAAAAGTTTTATAGATCTATATTAACGAAAAAGAATGACTCCTATCTGGTTTCATCATTCCATATATGGATTGTTGGTTGTGTTATCATTTAATTATTGGCATTGAATGGTGAAAATGTTAGCAGTAATTGATGCACATTTGAATTTACAGAAGAAGTTGATGTGGTGATGGAGACGGCAGAGGATATTATAGATGTGATAGAAGTGGCGGCGGGGGCGGTGGACATGGTGGTGGAGAAGATCTCCGATGATCTTCCAGACGGTAGTAAACTCAAGGCCACCTTGGAGAAAATTGAAGAAGTGGCGGAAACAGTTGCCGAAAAAGCTCAAAAAGCCGTTGACTTCATCGATGAGGTATCCCGCATGCTAACGCATATTTATTCATTTTTATTGTTAGTAATAGAGAATTATAGCTAATACAAATTATTATAGCTTATATAAAACAATATTATTAATATTTATATATTAATATTAATATGTGTATTAAAATTAAAAAAATTCAGGTTCAAGAAGCGGAGCGTAAGTTGGGACCAATCATCGAACCAGAAAAACAAGTAACCCAAGCGACGCCTTCGGAAGCAAGTTGATTCTTATTATAGTTGACCATAACTTTTAGTTTTTTATTTATATTTTAGTGATGAATATTTATTTATTTATTATTATATACAGTTTTTGATATTTAAGTCGTTAAATGTTTTGGAAATAATTCCTTAATTTGACATCTAAACTCAAATAAAATATAAGAATACTGTATGTATTATTATGTAATGTTAGAAGTAAACGGGTTCTAAGGATTTGGGTTCGAGCCTACATGAAACAAATTAATAAATGTGATCATACACCGAGCGTCGTTTACCAAAATCAAATTGAGTAGTTTTCACATGCTACTTATCACATTGCAAAGGGTCATGCTCAAATTATATGAAATAAATAAATGCACAGAACATTCGTCAAGTTACCAAAATCAAATTAACAAACATATTGATATGGTAAAGTTAAATGTTGTGTTTGGTTTAGAATCCGTCTTGATGCATAATAGAAGTAAACAAAATCAAAATAGTTTAAGATTGCAAAGAAAAAGAATATTTGTGTAACTACAAATAAACACCATAACTCCATTCTATAGGTCGGCTCTGGAAAAGATGTTCTCAAATTACTAAATCAAAAGTGACAGAGTAACATCAAAATTAAAATGCTTTACAGTAATTCTTGATGCTGGCATGATTTACTAATTGAAAAATACAAAACAAAACAGAAAAATACAGCATAATACATTCCGGTCAACTCATAATACCACTCTAGGTAATTTATAGTGAGAAGACTCACCCCGTGTAACTCAGTAACTCAGAAATCTCGGACTCCGTGAAATAGGATCTAGCCTCCGCTTAATCATATGAAAATAAACACTCGGCATCAATACATTTCCCAAGGCTAGACCATTCCCTCTCGTAGCACTCTCAGGAGGGT